TCTGTTCTGTGGTTGTGATCAAAGCCCTCCAAGCATTGCTGAACACTATTGGGCCTGGTATCTCATCCAATTACTTAATTCAGTAATTGGAGTTCCTTTGTTTGTGTGTGTGCGTGTGTGTGTGCGTCTGGTACTGGAAATTAAACCCAGGGCCTTGCACGTGCTGGGCAAATGCTCTACCCCTGTGCTACACCTCAGCCCTGTTCATTCTTTCCATCCTCTTTCTTATTTTGGAGACTCCTAAGAGGCTCCAGGGCTAATCATTCCTCAATAAACAGTAGTACTGAGTAAGTAAGGATTAATCATTTTAATGCAAGTAGTCCAGAAGTGTGGGCTGATGGTGGGGGATGAGCTAGTTGTCACCCTGATTTTCCACCAGGAATTAAACAAGGGGGTAGGCAAAGGCAGCAGTTAAGCCCAATGAGTCTTCTTACACTTTAACCAGAACAAAGTATTTCCTGATTTGGTTCTTGGAACAGAAGAGCAAACTAAGGTGATATAAATGAAATTGCTGAAAAGTACGTTTGGTATGAAGAGCCAAAAAATGTAAAGCAAGTAATCTTAAGTCTTGGCAATAAAAATAAAAATAAAAAAAGAGGGAGTCACCGAAATATTTTTAATAACCTGCCTCTTTCTCATGCCATAATTTCAACAGACTGCCATGATAGGGTGTCCACAATCAAAGAGGGAAGGAAAGGGAGGAATAAAAGACCACTACACACAAACCAGCCTTAGTTCTTATTTGTTCTTCTCCTGTTCTGCATTACAGCCTCCCACCACCTGCCAAAAATATCACTGTGATGAATATTGGAGTACATACCTCTCCACAGGAATCAGAAAATAATGCTTTCTAGCCAAAAGCTGGCACAAGCAGGACACTTATTAAAAGCCTTTGCTGATGACTATTTCCAACACCAGTGGGGATGGAGAGTCCTTTCTAACACTCCAGTGACCCACTCTGAACCCCTCTGTCTTGGTCCTACTCCCCCCACCCCACCCCCATGTTCTAGCTGTTGATTTATTGTCTGTCCCCTGGATTCTAAGCTCCTTGAAGGTAGAAACTGTTTCTTCACTGTACAATCTCAAGGAACACACACATGTCCTAGGCATGTGTTCGGAAATGGTTGATATATGAATACATGAATAATTTTTGAATAAATAAAACTGCAGAATGCTATGGGTAACAAAAAAAAGAAGAAGAAGAATTTTTCACACTTGTTGCCTTGCTTGATCCTAACAATACCCAAGAATCTCTCTGGAGGAGGGGCCACAATTATCCCATGTACAAATGTTGTAGAGGCTAAGCAAAATTGAGTGATGTGACTAATGTCATGCAGAGGACGAGGAACACTTTAAGTGAATGTCCCTGGCCAAATGATTTAAGCTATCCCTCATTCGAATTTCATATTTCAAATAAGGACCTGCTGCTTTAGATCAGGAGACTGTTTGAAACATCAAGAATATTAAACTAACTTTTTGTGTTACATCATTGATAACACTCTCACCACTGGACCATGTACACCCCCATATAATTTTACAAATAGGTTTGTGTACACATTTAATTATTTTTAGTTATGCAAACACTGGTGTAAATATACACTATCCCATATCATGAATAAATATACTCTACTATATACACTGTGTAATCTATTGTGGTACAACTATATTCTACACTGTATCATAACTGTTTTACAGTAAAGGGAAGCTCCAATATAATAAATCTCCATCAAGGAAAAAGTTACATTTCAATTATATTTAGTCTTTTGCAGGATACTTCATAAATGTCGGCAGCAGCTACATAGATATGTGTTCAGAATGTAAAGGAAGAATGTTAATAAATATGTGTTGGGGGAGAAAAAGGTATTATAATATGAAGGAGATTAAATCATGACATAAATTCTTTAAAATACATCTATATCCACTGATTTTCAACAAAGGTACCAAGAGCCCATATCACAGAAATGACAGTCTTTTTAATCAATGGTGCTTGGAAAATTGAACACCACCTATAGAAGAGTGAAACTAGATTCCTATCTCTCACTGGGTACAAAAATCAAATCAAAGTGGATTAAAAACTTAAATATGAGACCTGAAACTACTAGAAGAAAGCACAGGGAAAATGCTTCATGACATTGGAGTGGGCAATGATTTTCTGGAGAAAACCTCAGTCGCACAAGAAACAGCAAAAGTAGATAAATGGAATTACATTGAAAAAAAAAAAAACACCTTCTGCACAGCTAAGGAAACAATAAACACAGTGAAGGAGCAGCCTACACAATGGAGAAAGTATCTGCAATCCACATCTCTGACCAGAAATTAATATCCAGAATATATAAAGAAGTCAAAAACTCAATAGCACTCACAAGAGGATATTCAATAAATCAACAAATATATGAAAAAATGTTCATCATCTCTAGCAATTAGAGAAATGCAAATCAAAACTACTCTAAGATACAATTTCACCCCAATCAGAATGGCAGCTATTATGAAGACAAACAACAATAAGTGTTGGTGAGAATGTGGAGGAAAAGGCAAACTCATACACTGCCGCTGGAACTGCAAATTGATGCAGCCAATATGGAAAGCAGTATGGAGATTCCTTGGAAAACTTGCAATGGGACCACCATTTGATCCAGCTATCTCTCTCCTCAGTCTATACCCAAAGGACTTAAAAACAGCATACTACAGGGACACAGCCACATCAATGTTTATAGCAGCACAATTCACAATAGCTAAACTGTGGAATCAATCTAAATGCTCTTCAGTAGATGAATGGATTAAAAATGTGGCATATATACACAATGGAACATTACTCAGCAATAAAAGAGAATAAAATCATGGCATTTGCAGGTAAATGGATGCAGTTGGAGAAGACAATGCTAAGTGGAGTTAGCCAGTCCCAAAAAAAAACAAATGGCAGATGTTTTCTCTGATATAAGGTGACTGACTCATAGTAGGGTAGGGAGGGGGAGCATGGGAGGAATTGACAAACTCTAGATAGGGCAGAGGGGCGGGAGGGGAAGGCAGGAGGCAGGGGGTTATCAATGAAGGTGGAATGTGATGGACGTCATTATCCAAAGTACACTTTTGAAGACATGAATTGGTGTGAACATACTTTATACACAAACAGAGACATGAAAAATTGTGTTCTTTATGTGTAATAAGAATTGTGATGCATTCCGCTGTCACCTGTTTAAAAAATAAAAGCAATTTTAAAAATTCAATAGCAGAACCAAAAAAATCAATTTTCTAAATGAGCAATAGACCCAAATAGACATTTATGATTTTTCTAAAATGAAGACATACAAATAGCCAATAGGTATATGAGAAAATGTAAATATCACTGATCATTAGGGAAATATAAGTCAATGCCACAGTGAGATATCACCTCATCCCAGTAAGAATGGCTCTTATGAAAAAGACAAAAGATAGTGTGTGCTGCAGAGGATGTGGGGAAAAGGAAATCCTTGCAAACCGTTGATGGGAATGCAAATTAGGATACCCATTATGGAAACAGTATGGACATTCCTCAAAAAATTAAAAATAGAAATACCCATATGATCCAGCAATTCCGCTACTGAGCATATAGCCAAAGGAAATGAAATCAGTATGTCAAAGAGACATCTGCACTCCTGTGTGCACTGCACCACTACTCCCAACAGCCAAGACATGGAAACCACCTAAGTGTCCATCAGCTGACAGATGGATAAAGAAAATGTGGTGCAGGAACACCACAGGGTGCTATTCAAACATTAAAAAGAATGAAATCTTGTCATTTGCGACAACATGGATGGAACTGGAGATCTTTATATTAAATGAAGTAAGCCAGGCACAGAAAAAAAAAACAAGTACAGCTTGTTCTCACTCATATGTGAAATACAAAAAAAGTTGAGCTCATAGAAATTGAGAGTAGAATGGTATTTCCCAATGCCTGGGGAGCTAAAGGGCAGGAGGATGGGGAAGGTTGATCAACGGGTACTAAGTTACAGTCAGGAGTAGGAAGTTCTTGTGGGCTATTTCATGGTTGGTGGAACATAAATAATAATGTACCATCTATTTTAAAAAGTTAGAAGACATGATTTTAAATGTTTTCACCATAAATAAATAATAAATGTTCAAGTAGACATGTTTACCCTGATTTAAACATCACACAACATACACATGCATCAAAACGTCACATGGGTATGTATGAATTTTTATGTTTTCATCAACTAAAAATATATTTCAATTTAAAAACACACTCCTCTCCTTTCCCTACCCCACCTCTCTCTTCCATAGGAGAGGAAAAGAGCACAGATTAGCCTGTGTGCACAAACTCAACTAAAAATGCTAAACAAGGGTCATCGTCAAGACAGGGTGGCAGGACTTTAGAGGGGCCTTCCTACAACTGATGCTGTTCCTTAGATGGCCCTGGGAAGGGACAAAATCTTTTCGTTCACAGTTAAGAGATGTTATCCACCAAGAACTTAGCTATTGAAGACTCTCCATAAGTATGTTCTACTGGACTTAAGAATTCTAGTCTGCAACTGCAAATTAAGTGAAAAGGTTTTGTGGGTCTGTCTGGAGGTGGGAGTGTCACCAATAGAAGGACAACGTAAACTGAGGTTCTCATCTGTCCAGAGAGGAAGGCATCCCCTAAAGCCAGCGTGACTTAGGAAACGAAGTTCCATGAAATCGATCTCAGATCCTATGACGTTGCCAAGGGTAAGCTCTGCTCATCCTCACCAACCTGGCAGAAATCAGTAGAGCCTGTGCACATGGTAACTTTTATCTCGGAGCTACAAAGTGCTTCAAGGGATTAGTGAAGTTGTCATTTTAATCTTGAACACAATCTGACTTCATATAAAGAAGAAATGGAGCTATGGCTTAGACATCCTAAGATTAGTCAGTGAGCGATATTGGAAATCATCACGTCTTTCATGTAGCTATAGGGATCCTGAGAATGAGCAACACACAACATGCAGCCGAAATTAGGTTCAAGTGAAAAAGCTGACACCTACACTCCAGTCCAGAGTTGCTCTGGGCTCCTTGGCTGGACCATTTGCCACGGGAAGGCTGAGAGGATGTGCAGGAGCCAGATGCTGGAGGCCTGCCCGGGAGATTGCTTTCCTGCAGCAAGAAGAAAAGAAAACAAAAGAAAACCAGTATCAGAATCTTGTACAGAGTACAAAATTTCCCATGGGTAGATACAATGCCCAAGGTAGCTTTCTACATCTGAACCCCTTTACAAATGTGTTGGAATACAGCTCTCTAAAGGAAGAGGGTGGCAGGTCCCAAAAGACAAGGAGCTTGAGGACAGCCCTCTGGGGAAATATTGCTTTAAGACCAGAAGGTAAAATGTAAGCCCCTGTTGAGGATAGAGAACAGAAATGGAGGTCTCTCTATTTACAAAAACGATCCAGGGTTTGGGCAGTTGCAATGCTTGGAGAATTTTCAAGTTGCCAGAATCTAAAAGCAAAGAAGAAAGCAGCCTCGTGAGGCCTTCTGTTGAAATCCTTTTGGTGCTCAGGGCAGCTGAAAGTCCATTCTCTTCTCTCAGAATCATCCTTCTTTGCCCTTGCAGAGGATTTAGGAGCCTGAGGTTTTAAATGGGAAAAAAACGTTCTGCATATGCCAAGGAAGTGCACATGCTAAAAGATCAGCACCTCACCAAGGCCCACAGAGAGAAAAGCCAAATCATAGTCTTAGATCCTAGGTTTGTTAGGTGGAACATAACAGAATTAAATTCAGAAAGGAAAGACTGAATCAAGGGAGGCTGAGACAGTTGGCTCCAACTTTGGCCTGCAAGGATAAGAAATAAGAGAAGCTGTTTTAGCCAAGTAAATATGACCATTGCTCAGCTAAGGAAACAGAAGTGAGAAAGTCCTGGAAAGAATAAGAAGGGCATAGAAAAGAAAGCAAGCAGAGATCACCTAGGGAGACTGTGGTGTTGTTGGGAACAATAGTTCAGTTTTTGAACAACCTGTCGAAAATGTCCAACAAAGATCAGGAGCTTAAGTTATGAGTACAGAATCATAATCTGTTAGTATTAACAGATGCCTAGAAGGGAGGGCTTCTCCTCCCTACAAGTACCTATGTATGGTCTGAGAAACGTCTGAAATAGAATCCAGTGGGGGTTGGGATGCTGCAGCTCTGAGTCTATTCGGTTGAGGGTGAGGCATAAGAATCTGCATTCACACAGGCTCCCAAGGTGTTCCCTTCCGTGTGCTAACGTGTTCCATGGAAGCAAGTATGTTTGGGCAGTTGGGAGAACAATAGCCTACCAGGACCCATCAGAGGGAAGCTCTAGAGAAAAACCTCAGCAATTTTATTCTGCTGACTTTGTGTCCAGTTGACACACTGTAGCTCAGATCCTCAGACCCCTTCACCCACCTCACCACAGACAAAGAAGGCTACAGACAGCAGAGTGGAGAGAAGGAAAATCAGTGGTAGGGAGATAGATCTAGAATGAATCCCATCAGGACTGAGCCACCAAGAAAAGACATTTGCACCAGAAAGGAGAAGGTGTAACGACAAAGGGTACAAGTCTTGTTGAACCCTAAAAGAAAGGTGATCTCTCAACATGCTCATTGGCCTCCGAAAACCCCATCAAGAATTGGAAATTGTGAAGATGAGCAAGAAGGACAGCAGCCCTAACAACCCAGGAAAGGAGCGTGGAATCCAGTAAAGAGCCCAGAATTGTGCAACCATGGATCAATAATCAACTGTGTCAGAGCTCAGCGAGGGTCCAGCCCTCCTTAATCCTTTTAGTCTCTGCTATTCCTCCCCAGGAGGTTCTATGAAGGGTGGACAGGTCTTCAGAGGTTGGAAGTGATCATATCAAACTTGCCAGCAGCACTCAAGGCACTTAATGTAGATAATCCCCCAAGGGTCATTGTAAAAATGGAGGCCTTGAATGAAGTGAGTCCCTCACTTTCACCAAGGCTACTAATGAACATCAATTTTGACCCTTCAACCCAAAGTCTATTCTTTATCTTCCTTATTGTTAAGTAATAAGAAAGGAACAGTGGAAGATTCCGATCTGTGATCTTCCACCCACGATCATTTCCCTCCAACCAAACTGAAGGAACTTCTTCGGCATTCTTTATTAGCATTGTCTCCCATTTAGAGAGATTTTTGTGCCACAAAATCAGTTTCGGATTTATAAGAAAATCAGATCTCTATGGAGTCAGAAACCACAAGTCCCATTTTCGGGTCCTCAACAGTATACACAACTTAACCTTAAATGTTTCACACACACACACACACACACACACACACACACAAAATAGTCCTTAAGATGCCTGAAGAACTCCTGAAGTGCAGGTGAATAAGAAGACACTAATCCTTCACTTTTTCATGAACTGCCTCCACCCCCAGAGCTGTGATCAGGAAAAAAAAGGGTCAGAGCAGGGGGAGGAAGGAAGAGGAAGAGGAGGAAGAGTGGAAATAAAATTCTACTGTCAGACACCAAATGAATTTAACTGATCAGAACTTGTAAACTCTGACAACCAAAATCTTATTACTCTTCCTAATTAGGAGTGCCAGGAGGGGCAAAAAATGCAGATAATCTAATTAGTATGCAAGAGATGTATGTGCTATAGAAGAACAATGTGACTATAAGAGATACATAAACATTTAATCCTTAAAGAAGTTGCAGTCAAATCATAATATTTTCTAGCCTGTGAACAGACACAGTTAAGTAGTCTTTTGTTGATCATTTATCCCTCATTGTGGATGCAAATTTAAGGTTGCTTTTATATAATTAATTGAAGAAAATTATATATCAACTGCACATATAAATATTAATTAGGAGGAAAAAATAAGTAAGAAACATCAAAGTGACTACCAGTCTATAACTTGCAAATGGGTCTCATAGAAACACAATATAAGAGAAAGAGAATAGGGGAAAAAAGGAAGTTACTATAAGGCAGCAGAATAGAAGTAATTTCTGCTTACAGATTTCCATTCTAAATAAAAATAACCATGGGAGAAATCCTTCTTTCCAAAAACTCATACGTGAATACTTATTTTTCTTCCAAAATCAGAAAGTAACCTCATTATATCTCAGACCTCAAATAAAATTAGTGTATGTTACTTTTCTATTTAAATTTATCTTGGTTGTGGGAGATGACATTTAAGAGCATAACGGCACTCGGTAGGTGGTTGGAGGGGGATGGTAAAACAGTGGTTTTATGCTACAATTTGCTTCAATAAAAAAAAAAATGAGGTTTCAACTTCTCATTCCTTATTCCTGCTAAAAATCCTCCCAAACCTATAGAAAGCAAAAGCATGAAATGCCAGTGATTCTTTCTATTAATCTCACAACAACCCTTTTGTGAGGAATAACTATAATCACAAAAGCATCTTTCAAAAAGAACTGTGATGTTAACCATGAAATAGATCTGAAAAGAAAATACTCTATAATGCAGTTTCAAAAGCATAAAGTCACAGTTAATGCCAATTACCTGACATGGAAGACCTCTAACATATTTAAAGTATAAAAGCCATCATACATTTTAAACAGCATTCTATTATTTCCTTCATTTAGTTCAATAAGACTATAAACTCCTAAAGGACAGGTTCAATTCATCAACTAATCTTATTTCATTCTGGCCCAAGGGTAGACACAGCATATATTCAATAAATGCATTCTGAGTGAATGAATGAACTTGACCAAGAAGCTAAGTGCAACAGCCTACTGATTAGATCAAGGTCTCAGAAATTTGATTTAGGATGATTTGAATTATACCCTAACCTTACATTTCAGTTATAGTCTTTGCTGAGAGGGTCAGAAACCCTTCAAAGTAGCCCTTTAAAAATAAATGCAAATGAGGTAGAATCCAGTGTTAAGCACAGACAACATCAAAACCGCTTTGGTTGATAAACATTGACGTGAAGCCCCTTTGCTAGGATTTTGTAGAGACCATATAATGCAGTTAACATTTACACAATGTATTTATCAAAAGAAACACACAGCTTATACTCTACATATACAGAATTTTTAAAAATGTATGGGAAAACAAGTAAAAGGATGAATTCTTAGCCAGTATACTTTCTAATCATCCATTTCACAAATTTCTCTCAATTTGCCCTGGTTCCACTCTGTCTCCAACTTTATGTGGCTCCCATATTCAACCATCTGTGTCTTGCCAACTCCCTCTCCAAGTAGATCCTAGGCATGAGCATAGGAGGGGGACCCTGCTTGCTGAGCAGAAAAGCACCAGAAAATCAGGAGGTCCCTTAGCCAGGACATCTCCTAAAGTTTCCCCTTTTAGATACCAGAAAACTCCTCTTGTTCTAGAAAAAAAAAGCCAGCTGTCCAGAGAGCTATTCCTTACATTGGTTCAATTCCATTGTGCCTCAAGAGACATCTTCAGCACTGTGTGTGTTGGTGTTTCCCCACACTGTCTAGGCACTAACTGCTTGTATTCAAAGCAGCCCATAATGCCTCCTGGTTACCATAGATAAGCTACCTGCAATGCTGAGGATAGTCCACCCAACAAAAAAAAAAATGTCCTCAAACCTGCATGAATTCCAAATATTCCACCAGAAGTATATGAAGGGGAATAAACTATGTGCAATTATTTGAGCCTAAATCCTACTTCATTTCACATATGCATTCAAAATAGTTTTTGGTGATTTTAATGTATGTTTACACTTTCAAGAACTCAATTATTATTGAAACAAAGGTCATGTTTAGTTTTCTTTTTTTTTCCTTCTCAAAAATTCTTTAGTTTTAAATGGAAGAAAATTTCAGATTTTATTTTTGATTCCACAAATATTAGTAATGGATACGACAATCAAAGCAAAACAAATAACAAAATATCTACCACTGGATTTCTATTTTTATTTTCAGGTTTTTAAAATTTTTTTAAATTCTAATTTGTTATGTATGACAGTGAAATGCATTACAAATCATATTATACATAGAGCACAATTTTTCATATCTCTGGTTGTATACAAAGTATATTCACACCATTCATGTCTGGGGTGTTAAGTCACTCAGAAAACCATTTTTTTTTTATATTGAAGGTTCAATGTAACATACCTGCATTATTCTGGATATTTTAACTTCACAATCATTCTTCAACAGTGGTATTGAACCTTTGCCCATGGTGAAGCTTGAC